CACAGCCTCATTGGACTAATAATGTCACAGTTAGTACGTTTATTAAATTAAATATTACCAGCAAGGGTCTTTTAAATGCCACGTTCCTAATACTAGATTATATATTTATTTCAGAGTTAGCATAGGAAGAAGGGGAGCTATCAGAAGAAGGTCTATTAAGCTATGCTTTCCACCCCCACCCTCACCCCCCACCCCCTGCCCCATTGGATTAATGGAACTATTCAAATCAAATTTTTCACGCCATGCCTTGAACACCACTGCAAACCATACTGTGGGTGTAAAATACACGCAAGGCAGATATAATCAGCTCAGATGAGACCAGTGACTTGTACACCATCAAGTTTACTTCATTGTGAACGCAGTGGGAGTTTCTTTCAAGTGTGACAGCCTAATACACAAGGCAAAGAAGGAAAACAGAAAGACACACAACTCTCAAAACTGTTGGTCTAAACTAAGTATAATGCAATTGCTGAACTCTTGCCTGTTTATCTTCTCAGAGAGACTCACATCCTCTTGACCTGGGAAAAGAAAATCTAACTTCGATGACTCTAGTAGTTCACAGAGATCTGAAGGGCTTAAAAGGTCTCCACTACCTTTAAAAAATGCTTGTTTCATATCAGGCTACAATAGTACTCATTTGAATATTAAAATTAGCTACACAGTCGCTGCCATACTAAATTAAATGATTTTAAAAACTGAATTGAGTGCTCTTCATACCTAAGCTTATCTATTGTTGCTGTTTCTTTCGAGGGACTCTAGACGTTTGTTTTAACTTTGGTCCTACTTTTTTTTTTCTACCCCTTGTCCAAAATGCCTGTGACTGCTCAGACGCAACCCTGGAGAGCAAGCTGAATGTTTTTATAAAACTGCTTAAGAACATACCTTGTCTGACAATTACTCGTTTTAAACTTTTTTAAGAATATATATGGCCTCCCTTTAGTAAAGCTTTGTTCCTAGCCTGTATCCTAAACAGAAAATAAAATATCCTTTAAAACTTCAGTGCTAAAAGGATAAATAGCATCACCCCCAAAACAGATGAGTAGTCACCAAAGAACTAAGAACAACAGTTGGATCTGTAAGAAAATATAACTTCAGGATATAAGGCTATTAAGTTCTCCATAGGCCCTAACTTCCTAATTGCTAACAGCTCCCGTCATTTCAGTTTTAAAAATCAGGAACAACACAATATGATTGGTGAAATAAATGGGTCTGGGAGCTCCCGCTGATACTTAAAAAAAAATAAATGAATAAATTAACAAAATGCTGCTGCCAGCGGTCCTGAAGGCTATTTACTGAGTGCTGAGGCCTGGCTTTGCAGCAGCGGGCAGGAAAGCCTGAGGCTGAGCCTCGCCGGGCCTGTCCTTCCTGTCTGCCCCCAGCCCCTTGGCCTGCACGTCGAGGCCCAGGCCGAGTGGCTTGCACCAGGCCTCACTTAGGCCCAAGGCCTGGGCTCCGTGCGAGCCTCGGTCCCACCGCTCTCGCAGGGCAGGTTAGGCCTCGGGGCGGCGGCGCCTGCAGGGCCCAGCAGCAGCAGCAGCAGCCCAGCAGCAGCAGCAACTGCTGCCCTCGACGGCCCTGTGCAGGCGGGCAAAGAGGCCGGAGCCCCGCAGGACGGGCGGCGCGGGTGGCCAGGGGCGGGAAGCGGGCGAAGGAAGCCCGGGGTGGCGCGCTCTGCTCTGCCCTCGGGTGGAAACACGCCTTGGAGGGGGCTGAGCGGGCGGGGAGGGGTGGCCAGGCCTCTGGGTCCTCCGGGAGAGCGGCCTGGAGCGGGACCTCCCGGGGCCCAAACTCGCCTCCGCTCTGCCCCGCCGCGGCCCCCTCGACACCCCGAGCCTTCTCCTCCCGAGGAGCCCGGCTCGGGCCGCCAGGGGACCAGGAAGCACGCAGCCCCCGAGAGGAGCGCGTGGCTGCAGATTTTACCTCACGCTGACTCAGTCCACACAGCAGATGGCGGAGCTGCGAGGGAAACGACCTCCCCAGTGTTTTTTTTTTTGAAGCTTGCTAAGAGCAGCGAAAGCGCGGCTTTCGGCACGAGGCGCTCCGTTCCTGGGGAAGCTCTCCTCGGCTTCGAAAGGCTTCGCTGGCGCACTTGACACCACTTCCCCGGGGCCTCCTCCCCGGGACCCGGGCCTGGGAGGCGGCGGGCGGGCGGGCGCTCCATCCACGCGGCCCCGGGCTGCACGTGCTGCGGCTGGGCCGGGCGCAGAGCGCAGCCCCGGGTGGGTGCATGGCCACGGGAACACACTGCTCCACTCCTCTCCCGCCACACACACCGGGTTTGGTACTTTGGGTCGTCGCCTTTACTTCGTAGGTGAGGAGAGGGGAAAGGAAAAACAAAGGAGAATCAGTCATCGGGTTTTTTTTTCTTGTTTGTTTGGGTTTTTTTCCCTCCCTCTCTCTCTGTCTCTCTCTGTGGCACACAAGACTCCACGGAACGCCGTCTAGCGGCGGGATTATCCAGGGAAGGCACATCAGTGAAATCTCCCCCTCGACTTTTCATTTTTCTTGGAATTTTGAAGCCTCTTTACATCTGTCACACCACCAAGGGGACACGGGACAAACTCTGGGTGCTGGTAAATTTACTTCTGTTGACCCCAGGCCAACTCAGACCCAAGGAGAGGGTTGAGCCATCTCCTGCCCCTTTCCGGAGTCACCCTGTCCTTGGAGACAAAAGTGCAGAAGTCGCCTCTATTAAAGACAGAATTGCAAACTTGCACATGAAATTCCATTTGTTCTCAAGGGTAGGGACCTGGCCTGGAGAAAACTGCGGCGAGGATTCCACTATGGAAGAGGGAGTAGACGCCCACGGGCATGACCCCTCAACTACCTAGGCCCTCTCCAAGTTTTTAACTCAGTCCTTAAAATCCACCCTTCCACGTTGGTTCTGCTGGTCTTTTTCCACCCCACCGGGAAGAATACCTGAAGTCACTCTCTGGAAGTGTAGGCCCTTCGGGTGTTTGCATTTATAAAGATTCGCCAGTCACCTCCAAGGTCTCTTTGTAAAACCAAATTTCTCAGCATCCGCACTCAACTCAGCAGTTTGTCTTGCTTTAAATTGCACCCAGCTCTCACCTAATGCCTCACAGGCTGCTGTGTGAAATTTAAAGAGATTCCTAACTCATCTAAAGACCCTCCTTTTCCTGTCACTTCAACTTCAGGGAGAATCAGAGCTAGGAGAAAGAAGGTGCGTATATTTTCCTAGGGAAAAAAAAATACAGCAGTAAAGAAAACTACACTCAGAGAATTAAATAATTGTAAATAAGAAAAACAATCCTTAGTGGTGCTACAAAACAAGATTAAGGGATGTAGGAGGTGGCTACCATTAAACTCCCAGAGCAGAGGGAAGGGGGCTAGTCTTGCTTAACCCTTCAAAGCCATAACCTAGAATAAGTATTTGCAAACTGTAAACTGCTCCCAAACACCATAGTTAGTGTTTTACCAGGTTTATTTTACTTGTTATACACAGACGATACAAACGAGCAGAAAACAAAACGATTCTCAGTGGAGTGTGTACTGGTATAAATTATTCAATTCACAGACAAAACAAAACAAATATAAAAATCACAACATTTGATTTACAGAAGAGCCCAAGTATACACACGTTTAGACCCTGAATTCCTATTAGGAAAAAATCCCCCGTGGACTGGAATCTAGATTGAATATTGTGTATGATGCATATTTCACATGGATTTTAAAGTACAAAAAAGTATAAGTTTGCTACACAACATTAGAAATCCTACTAATCTATTTCCAGGGGGATTAATGCTCCTTATCAAATATAACAAGACTTGGGGGGAATCAGTCTTACTTGCAATAATGCTAGTGTTTTCCCAAGAAAGTCAAATTTCAGCTGTCTCTAAGTGGTGGGGGGGGAATCGTTTTCAAAACTAAAATGCAGTAAAATATACAACTCACACAGTTCATCTTCACTAGACTACACTATAGTTACCAACAAGTCAGTCATCTATATCATTAGATTATTCATTACAAAGATTTACAGCATATAAAGGTGGAGTGGGGACTGAAAAGATATTCAGAAACAGTTTGTCAGCATATTTGGCACCTGCACAGACCAGTAATGGATTTGGCACTTTGGGGAAAAACAAATAAGGCAAAATAATATTGCTGATGTGGAGCTATTCCATTTAGAAGGGGGGGGGGACAGACAACTCCAGTTAACTCTGCTTCGCAGGCAGGCATCATGCCGCTTGACTTGCCCAGGAGCGGACAACTAGCTTTTACAGGTGGTCAGGTGGGTTCTCCTTAGCTATGTCGCGTGCACTGGGGCACACAGTGGTTATATCATGCAATGAACTGAGAGGTGAGAGAGCCATCATTATGGAGTGCCTCGTGTTTCCAGAGCCTCTATCTTTAATATCTCACAAGTAAACAAAGAGGGGGGTGGGGAGAGAGAGAAAGAATGGAAGGAGAAAAAAAAAGAGGAATAAAAAGTTAAGCATGAACTGGTTTTGTGCCTTGACAATGAGAATAAAAACTAGCCATTCGTTACAATAAATTAACACTATATACAGTCATTTCACAGGCTTTGTTCTACTAAAATTATGAACATCCCTACCATCCATCCATCCATCCATCCATCCACTCGGGTATAAGAAAGGACGCGCTGGGTGGGTGCAGGTTCTAGAGTCAACATCCTATGGTTAATAGGGAGGCCAAGACAAGGCGGGTCGGGATCGCGGCTGCCTGACAGGACTGCCCAGGTCTCCTAAAGATGAAGAGTTTCATTCCAAGAGAAAGGAGAAGGTGAGGGGGGGGGGACAAAAAAAGAAAAAAGAAGAAGAAAAAGAAAAAGAAAAAAAAAAGACGGGGAGGATCATAACTTCCCAGAAGAAAAGTTGGAAAACCACAAGGTTCACAGCCAGGTTCAAGGTCGGTGCGCTAACTGCAGAGCTGGCTGTGGCAGAAAGAAAAGAGCAGAGTTAAAAAAAAATCATAAAGGGAGACCTGCACTTCTCCCCCTGGCAGACGGTCATCGAGGGTCAGGTGAAAGAGCCAGCGAGTGCGCAAGAGCGGGCCTGGGGAGGAGGACGTGGGGGGCAGAGCAGAGGGGCCTTGGGGTGGGGTGGGGGGCGTGGGGGGAGGTTAGGGGGGCGCGGGGCGCGGGCCGGGCGGCCTAGCTGTGCGAATAGAAGCCGTAGTAGCCGCCTATGTCCTTGGCGCAGTTCTTCTCGCAGTCCCGCTGGGCCAGCACCTCGCTCTTGAGCGGGGACGAGCTCTCGGACACCGGCGTGTCGGCGGGCGAGATCCGCCTCCGCTTGGCCTGCTCGTAAATGCCCGAGTCGCTCGAGTCGATGGACTTGATGGAGGAGGGCGTCTCGATCCAGCTGGAGTCGGACAGGTCCTTGGGCTTGGCGTCCTCGGCGGCGGCGGCGGCGGCGGGCGCCAGGGGCGAGCGCTCGGCCGCCAGGCCCTCGGCCTCCTCGCCCAGGTAGGGGTTGGCGCCGGCCATGCGCGCGGCGGCCGCGGCGCTGTTGGGCCAGCAGGGCAGCACGGAGCCCGACTTGGCGCCGCAGTACTGCGGGGGGCTGCGCGCGCCCCAGCCCGAGGGGTCGGCGTAGTAGCCGAGCGGGCGGCCCGTGCAGCCCGCGGCCTGCAGCGGCAGCGCCTTGACGCCGGCCGCCGCGTACGACAGCAGCGTGGCCGCGTTGCCCGCGAAGTCCGTGGCCGTGTCGTAGGCCGAGGCCGCGAAGTCCAGCCGGTTGTTGGCCGGCGTCACGAACCAGCGCTGCGGCGACGGCGCGCCCGGGTCCTCGGCCTGCTGCGGGGACAGCAGCCCGTTGGTGTGCGGCACGCTGCGGTCCGTCCCCGGGCCCGGGCCCGCGCCGGCGCCCGGGTGGAAGCGGGCCTTGGCGTAGTTGCTCACGAACTGGTCCTGCAGGAAAGAGCCGGCCATGGCGTAGCGGGCGCCGGGCACGATCTGCGAGCGCGGAGAGTCGTTGGGCGAGGGGGTCAGGCGGTCCATGTCGCAGCCCGTGTAGATCCTGAGGGGAAGGGAGAAAGAGAGGAGAACCGAGGGGTGGCGCGGAGGTCCCTACATTAGGGTCCTGGAGGGAAAGCCACCTCTAGTCTTGCCCACCCCGCACACCGCACACCGCACACCGCACACCGCACACCGTCCGTCTGGAAGTTGCGCTGGACACACAGGGTGCAGACAGCGGAAGATCACAGACCCGCACCCTCCCTACCCCACGATGGAATGGTCACAGTTGCCCTGCTGGAACCTGAGCCGGACACAAAGCAGAGTGAGGGTCTTCCATCTTCCCGCTAAGTGCACGGGGCCCAAGATGGGGCCTCCACCCACTGACCCAGCATTGCGCTCCCGGTGTGACAGAGTTATCCAGGCACCGAGGTGCTGCTATTTGCCCGTTGGGCCTTTCCTCTCTGGCGAATTTCTGAGTGAAATTTCTAAACAAGAGGCCCACTCTCTCCACCCTTTTAAGACCTCCTGTGTCCATTGGGTTGTTCAGACGATTTCTTTTCTTTTGCTAGGCAGTGTAAGAAATCTCCAGAGGGGAAAACCGCGTAGGGAGAGTGGGGACGGACATGTCCAGGTAATAACGTCCAAGGCTGACTTTCGCTGGCCTCAGCGCCCCAGAGGATTGCCGCTGGAATCCTCTAAGGTACTTTTGTCTGCTGCCTCCCCCAATGTACGCCCTTTAGCTCGCAACTCTACCAATGCAAGGGGGGAAAAAATAGAAATTACTATTTGGAAGCAACACTCACTCATCAATAAAATTCTTTAGGAAAAAAAAAAGTGTACTTTAGTCTTCTCTACCCAGCTTTTGGTCCATTACTAAAAGCAAAAGAAGAGGAGAAAGACCCTTTGGGGGAAACTTACAGTTAACACCTTCCTCCAAGCAACTAACCCTGCCTTACAGAGCTTAGATGTGCTATGCCGGCCACATGGGAATCATTTACATAAGCACAGGTAGATTTCTTTAGCCCATAACAATTCTCTTGGGAACTATTACTCCACTTTCCCGATGAGGAAACCGAGGCGAAGGAAAGTTAGAGAACTTGCCCGATAATCAAGAGAGATTGTGTGTGCGGGAATTGTGTTAGATAAAATAAAGATTAACTTTAGGCCCTAGGCCTAGGTGATCTCATCAGAACTGAAGTTGGATGATGATGTGTTTCTTCATACACATATAGACATACCTCACTGTGTATTTAGCTCACACATGAGTGTTTGCATCTTTAGTCAACACACTGTTCTTGAAGGGGTGCCTCAGTATTGTCAGATCTTAATCCTATGGGGAGAAAACTCCGCCGGGTGTGGCCAAGCAACCTTCTAGGATCCCTTGAACTCTCATACCCCACCCCACCCCATTGCTCTCTAATCAAGCCAGGCCCAGATTACTAACCTTAAAGAGGAGAGTGTTAAATCTACTCAACTCCCTCTCATCCCCCAGAAACCCAGGCATTACTTTTATAACGGATAAGATTTCTACAACAAACTTGCAGTTTCAGAAAGGGAGGCCTTATCCAACAGAAGGCAGCCAGAGGACAGGCAGATGAGTTACTATGGCTGCTCCAGGTGCATTCTGTTTACAAAATAAATAAATAAATAATACCCTCCTGAAATTTAATTCCAGCTTCATTTTTTTTTTAAAGTGGAGGGAGGCAGGAAGGGAACATAATTAGCAAGTTACAAATGTCTTCTGTTTGCCACCACAATATTCTTTAAAAGAAGAAAAAAGCAATCTGAAAAAGATACAGTTTAGATGCCCATCCAGGTCTCAAACACTTGGGATTACTGAATTGATTTGTGCAAAATAAATGCTTACGAACAGATGTTAACAGAATTAAAAGCTCAAAAATCTATACAACTCTCTTCCAACAGCCCTAGTCTCTTGGGCCACTGTATTGGGCCCAACTTTTTTCATTTCTTGAAACCTGATGCAGCCAAGTTTTATTCTAGAGAATCGTGTTCATAATTTGGGGGGATTGCTTTGAATTGCTTTGGGGGGACACATAAGAAAGTTAGAGCCAGTAGATATCAATGACTTTCCCACTTGTTATAAAAACATTGCAAGGAGAGAGAGTGTCTGGAGGTTGGGGCAAAGGAGCTCCTGTCTCTTCCTCCACACATTTGATCTGTTCCCAGTCAAAGACCACACTCCAGCTCTATCCCAAAGCCAGGAGATTAAAGTGCATATTTCCCTTTATCTTTTAGAGTCAGAGAAAAAAGTAGGTGAATCACCCAATCCCACTTTACATTTTGCTATATAACACTGTCTGAAAACTCTTAGGTCCAATAGTCCCTGAGTGAGAATTCCAGAACAAATCTAGAAAGAATTCAGTCTGTGCCTGCTGCTGCCCCAGACGACAGCCTTGCTCTGAGAAAGGCCTAGAGCTAGGTAAGGGGAGCCTGAAGAAAGGGAACCAGCACATTCAATTAAACCATAGACGCCAAAAGTAAGAGGAGACATTTTTCCTCTGAAGCTTTATATAAATAAGGTGCAACCACATCTCAGTGCTACCCAGAGCCTGTAATGACTGCAAGTTAAGTTCCGCTCATAAACTCGCCTGGCGAATGCACATTTTCATTCAGTCCATAGTAAACTTCACAGGAAATGCTCTCACACAAAACTTGGAAATGAGTAAATAAAAGTCACATATTGCCAAGGAGACTGTAACGACTGCCAGAGCCACACGTACTCTCAGGCAGAGTTGCCCCGGTTCAGACACAGCCGACCTGAGGTGAGCATCTGCAGCCACACATACAGCATGCACCAAGGAGAACCAGGGCAGCTTCCGCCGCCAGCCAGCCAACCCCAGGGGCGGCCAGTAACTTTGGAATTTGAAAGAAAGCTAAAAATAAGTAAAGAAAACTTTTGACCAAAATCACACAACCGGCAAACTGCAAGGTCACCAGAGAGGGAACCAACATGACAAAGGAAGGGGAATCGCCAACAATTTTCTCACGTACTTGACTTTGAAAATCCTTCAACACAACAATCGACCCTTAAGCTAGTGGCCAGTCCAACAGCTATCTGAGAAGGAACATGGAAAATTACTTACGTGTCATAATTATCTCGAAATCCTTTTGCAAAGGGGTTGTGGTCTATTTTTAGTTGTGTGATCTGGAAAAAAGAGAAGGAACGGTGATTGTGGTCTCCACTTCTGCATGGGAAGGTTGTGTGTTTGAAACTATGTCACCTGTCCTTGACAGGGACTTTGGTCTACTGAGTCATCAACAAGCCAAGGTTCTTTAGCAAAACTTTGAGAGGCTAGCAGGAGAGGAAGAGCAAGAAGTATTGGGAAAGTTCCGAGAACTAGCTTAAAATGGGTAATACCGACTAGCATTTCGGTTAACTCTCCTGTGTGCTAGAGGTTGATTCAAATAGTCATTGAAAAAATACTGATTACATGCAATGCACTGCTACAAAAGTGCTTAATGTCTTTAACTCTTCAGTGTTTTCAAGAGTTTAACCACAGGTATATATTTTTTAAATGAGCCAATTCTGACTCTCAATTAAAAAAATAAAGAAAGCCCTGTAAACTGCATCTTAAAATTGGGTTGATTTGAAATAATTATTTCATTTCTGTTTTACTTAGATGACCAAATACACAACTTCTATACTTCTAGAGTCACATCAGCTACTAAAATCAGTTTTTGCAAACACGCAAATACTGCGAAACTTCTAGTTTGTGCTAGCAAACTCCATTAGTCCCTGTAATTTGATTTAATTGGCGTTTTCTCTTTGCATATCTACAAATATGAACACACTCTCTTTCCTGTTTTGAACTCTCAGAACAGTAATATCTTCTCATTTTAGCCACCAGTTCTGAGATTTTAGAAACAGTTTATTTTAGATTTCATAGCTTGCTAATAAAATGCACGGGGTAGAGCTGCCTGTTTCCTGAAAGGGAGATTTTTGAAAGGAAGAAAGCGCACGTTTTATCGTTCTAGTTTAAGGACCAAACTAAAGCTCCTAAAGGATCGGTCCCAGAAATCGTGGCCACCGCTGGGGGGTGGAGGTGGGAGGGTAGCCGGGCTGGAAGCTCACCCGCAGAGCTTCCCCACCCGCTAGCTGTTTGGGGGAAGGGCCTGGCCGGCCTCTAGCACTCTCCTAAGTGGTGCTGTAGGGCCAGCTGTGGCCGAGGCTAGTCTGCAGAGTGATGAAAGACTGGAGGGTAAGGGGTGCCACTTGCCCGAGCCCAGCCCCGAGCCTCCTTACATCGGTGTTCTGGTAGGCGGTGACAGCGATGAACTGAGTCTCCGGGAAAGTGAACGTCTGGACACGGCCAGGCTGGCTGGTGTCCTCGGTGCCGTCCTCGTTCACTTCTACCACGTGCAGACGGGGCTGGTACTTGTGAAGGGACTGTAAAACCACCATCTGTCCGGGGAAGAGAAAGGAGAGCTCCTTTGAACGCCTGCCTGTTCGCACCAGCCCCAGGGCTCGCTCTGCGCCGGGCTGGGCCAGCTGGAGCCCACTGCCCCAGACTGGCTATGGGACTCGCCTCCTGGTGACTGGGTGGCCAGCACACACCGCCCGAACCTCTGGGAGCCAAGATCCTCTGGGTACTGGGGAAGCCCGAATGCCAACCACCAGTCCCTTCCCCTAGTCCTCCTTAGAAGAGGAACAAAGATTTATTCACAACCTACAAATCTCAAATCTCGTTCGTTTATTTTTTTCAAAATGAATCAGTATTTGTGTTTGGATAGGTGAATTCCAGAACGAGGTCGGGCGGAAGGCAAAGAAAGCAACTTAATGGATTAAATATAATTTGGGGAGGTAGAAATTATTTTCGAAGTCTTCACTGGTGGAAACAAATCCTACCCAATTTTTCGTGTTGCTGTACACTAAAGAAGTGTGTGTGTGTGTGTGTGTGTGTGTGTGTGTGTGAGAGAGAGAGAGAGAGAGAGAGAGAGAGAGAGAGAGAGAGAGAGAGAGAGAGAGAGACTGACCTGCCCATTGTTGTTGGATGCTCCCTTGTTGTTGGTTAGTTTTAATTTTCCAAAAGAGATTTCTTGCCGCATCCAGTGAGCCCCAGTGTTGGGGGAATCCGGATGCATATAGACCCGGTTTCCTTGATTAAAAAAAAATAGCTTGTTTACATATGCTCTGGGCACTGCCCAGTCCCAACTCCTTAGCACATGAAACACACACACACACACACACACACACACACACACACACACACACACATACACACACACCACGCACACCCCTTACTACAAAGTGAAGCCCATTAGTTGTTTCTTTGGGGGGGCATACTTTCTTCTATTAACTGGGGATTATTAAAATAGGTTTACTGTCCAGTCCCAACGCTGTACCACATAACACACACACACACACACACACACACACACACACACACACACCTTCACTGTGAGGACCATTAGCTGGGCCTTTTTTTTAAGCCGCGATTTCTTCCCATTAAGTGGGAATGATTAAAATAGCTTTTGCATAATCCTCCCCTTTCTTGCTGTTCAGTCTGTCCCCCTGTCCCTCTCTTCTTTAGGAAGTCATTGGCCGATCGTTTTAAAAGTCGCTCGAGCCAGTCCACAAAGGCTTTAATTAATCATTCTCACCTAAATAAGTGTCAAGAAAACGTGTTAATTGGAAGGACTTGCCTTGCACATTGGTGTCCGCTTTGCCACAAGGAACCCATTTGCCTCCTTGAAACCTCCAGTGATTGGGATCCGCCAAAATCACATCCACAAAAATATTGTAATGAGCGGTGGGATCGAGACCAGAAATATTAAAACTCAAAAAGGGAAACATGCGCCTGTTTAAATTAAGAAGGGAGAGAAAACAAAGAAAAAAAAAGAAAATAAATGTTAGAGATTAAATGCAAGAAGCGGGGCGCCAGATAGCCAAGCAAAACTTGTCCTCTCAGTGTGTCTGAACGAATATTTGCTGATCTAGAAAAGGGTTAGTAGGAGACAGGAAGACGTAGGGCCGAAGTCGGGGAGAGAGCAGCGAATGCTCTGCAGGTATCAGTGCTGGGGTGAAGAGCGGGGTTGGCGACCTGCTTCTCCACCTGTCGGCACAGGCCAGCCTTGACGAGTTGCTCTAACGCCTGGCAGCGGCCGCGGCTCCAGTCTTGCTGCAGCCACTGACTGGCTCTCCGACCGCACTGGTACAGCAGGCTCCCCGCCACCAACATCACCACGGTGGTTATTATCCCTGCCACTTTCCCCTTTTCCAAAACCAGCCAACTCCAGGGCGCACCCGAGCGCCTTTCCACTCCGTTCCCCGACCCCACATCGTCGCTGCCCGGCGGTCACAACTTGGGTGCTCCCGCCCAGGGTCACGCCTGGAACAGCGGCAGCCAAGAAAGTAGCATTACCTTCCCTGTTTAGTGATGATCATCTCCGTTTGATGCCGATGAAATTTCAACCAAAGTGGCCTGTTGCACAGGTATACCTGCGCCTTGCCCGGCACCAACCCGGGCTGGGTGGAGGAGAACTGGTAGAACGGAGCTCCTTGGTAGGAGTGGCCGTACTGCTGTGGGTAGGGGTAGCCGGCCGTGGGGTAGCCTTGCGGCGAGGAGTTGGACAGCAGGCTGTTGTAAGCTCCGTTGGTGATAACCGGGTGGTGGGCCATGTAGCGACTGGGGCTGCCGATGGAGAAGGCGGGATGCGCCGGTCCGTGCTGGCCGGGGTACGGGAACATGGCACTGGGAGCAGTGGCCGCAGACTGTGGCTGGCTGGACTGAGAGAGGAGGTAACGATCTGCAGCAGAGCCATCGAAACTGTGACGAAGCTCAGAGACCCCGTCCAAGACAGGAGAGAGTTTACTTCTCTGGACGTCCCCTGGTGAGTCCTTGGAGTCAGGAAAATTGTCTGTATCTGACTGATTCGTCATCCCCCTGGTAATTTTTTTCAAAGGTGAACTTCTCTCCAGGTTGTCAGTGGTCGAGATAATGGGATGATCGTGCAAGACAAGCTCAGATCCGCCCGAATGTGGGTAGCTGCTGCTCACATTGAGAAATTTCTTGGAGAGCATGATAGAAGGAGAGAGGCAGTGCTCCAGCTGCATAGCTCTAGAACCTGAACGCTCGCCCTCCCGTCCCTGGTTTTTAAAGTCCTGTTTATCATAAACTAGGAATCCACAGACCCCTCACTAGACAGAAAGCACTTCAACCAGCAAATGCTTCTCAAAGGTTTGATTTACTTTTTTTTTTTCCCTGGGAGAAGAGATTGGCCAATTGACACTATGCAGCAATCAGAAAAGGCTCACTTTTGATCTCGCTGCTTATGCAGCCGATGAAACGGCTCCTGCCATTGGTTAGCTGCTGACAGTAATTTAATTAGATAGACATTAATTAGGATAATCACCTGGCTCCTGGTCGCGACGATCATGGCAAATTGAAGGGGATGATTTTATTGTTGGCTTGGGGGGTGGGGGGAAGTGTGTTGGTTTACGTGAGCTCTGTTATGTCACCTTTAAGCTTTGTGACCACTGCTTTAGGAAGATTCAAAGATGTGCAATTTACTAAACATTTCCTAACCCCCCCCCTCCTCTCTTTAGAGAGGAGGGGCGGAGGAGGGAATTCGATGATGTTAGGAGACTTTTCGAATCTGAATGAGCCAAATATTCAGTTGAATGTAACGATTTCAAGTGCAAAGTATACAAAGCGCGAGCCGGTGGCCTCTTCTCGCCCTGTGAAACTTCCAGAGTCTGTCTTTTCCAGTTAATACACAGAAGCACACACACACCTGAGCCTGTGCTTTGTGAGTAGGTACTGCGTGTCCTTGACGCCCCCTCCCCCACCTTTAAACTACACGACTAAATAAATAAATAAACAAACCGCCGCCGCTGAAAGCCTCAGCGCTCTGCTGGAGAGAGGAGAGTGGAGGCGAGGCAGCTCACCCACCCATCAACCCACCTCGGAAAGGTTCGGTTTCCGGCTGGGGTACAGAAACAGTGACAATCTATGATCTCCTTTTTAAGTTTTGAAATAATCATAAGCCGTCGCGCTGAAGTGCTTTATAATGTATTTGCAGTCATGTTTACTGGGTCGTTACTAAATATTTTATCAGCCAACTTGGTTGCAGATCATCTGAAGAGCAGCTAGCTGGGGGCGGGCGCCATGTATCCTTTGAGTCCCACCGCACTTCCTCCTTTCGGAGGCACTGGCTTGGTGACAGGTTCATAAGCCTCGCCAGGAAAAAGAGAGGGCTGAATCCCCAGTGCAAATGGGTTCGCTAGAAGCGTTGATCTGGGGAGACAGAGTGGAAGTGGTGTCAATGCAGTGATCTTACTGAACTCGTGTGTGTGTGTGTGTGTGTGTGTGTGTGTGTGTGTGTGTGTGTGTGTGTGTGTGTGATGTTTACATAATCCAGAGGGAGAGAAAAAGAATCCATGCCAGTAATTTTGAAAGGAATAGAGAAAAGAATCGGTTTAAAGAGATTTTGGCACAAATAACACGAGGCCCCAACCAACTCGGGGGGTGTAGGGGAAAAAGATCTCCTAGTACCTGCTCCACAGGAGGCCAGCATCGGGCCTCAAGCCCAGAGCACCTGAGATCTACAACCCCAGAGCTGCTGCGTGTGCCTGGCATAGCCAACATGCTCTGTAGCTTTCCTCCCTGAAGGCGATAGGCTCAGGAATTCAAGCCAACCCCGGGCTTCGCTCAGCTCGGGCCAGCAAGGTGGTCAAGAGGCAGCGGTCTCCGGGAGACTAAGAGAGGGAGGGCCAGGCGACAATGCCAGGCTCGGACCCCAGAGGCTCACACTCCACCCGTGCCATACACAGGTTGGGGGCCTCTGCCTTCAGTCCAGCCTCCCGAATACCCCAGCCAGAGCAGCAGAGTTCAGCGGTGGGAAGGTGGGGTGGGACTGGGGTATGGTCAGAGAAGAGTTAACAGATTGGGAATGTGGTGGCGTTTAGTGTGCAGCGAGAGGCCAGTGCCGAGCCTGTGCGGCACCACTTCTCTGAAGCTGGCACTGTGGCTGCAAGAGGGTACCAGCTTCAGCCTCCGAAGGGCGCGGGGGCAAGGCCCAGCATTGGTGGCCATAGGCCGGACAGGTTGATGATCAGATGTCTCAGAATCATGCAGAAGCAATTTTCTGGGAGAAAAATAATGCCGGACCCGTTTTCCCTTTGAAAGCAAACCTCAGCTCCTGGCCAGGAAGCTTCATAAACAGGCAGGATTTTAGCTGTTAGGCATTGGAGCACCGGGTTGGTGGTGGTGATGAATAGCTGTGATGATATCTGATGGTTTCCTTTCTTAATCTTTGCTGCTACTTTTGCCCCATTTAAGCTGCTTGTGCGTTCTTTGCATCTTTAGCTTCTGTCACCAAGTGCCTCTCCTCTCCCTCCTGATTCTCACCTCATCTTGCCCCCCCCCCCAGCATGACACAGAGCCTCAAGTACATATGAAAGGAAGACTTTCCTACACACTTGTTTTTGGAAGCTTTTTGCCATTCCGGACACCTCCTAAAAATACCGGCTCTCAAAAACATAAGGAATGCCAAAGTGACCATTGAAGAGTCAAGAGGGTAAAAAGGTACACACATTCCCTGGTTTGTAAGGAACTGAACTTGGAGGTGAACAGGCACTGTGACCCACTTTCAATAATCAGCCCAAAATTCAGTGGTTCCTCACATAAAGGCTTTGCTCTGAAATCTGTGTACATTCACAAGGAAAATGAGGGCTCTCAACAGAAGTCTAGGGTGGGACTTGTACTGTATACATGAGCTTCGCTAACACTGGTCCAGGCAAATCAGTTTCAATAGTGCGGAGTTACATCTCTACACTAATAACTATGGGGGTTGTTACTAAATGAGCTTTAGCTCCTCACTACCTGTGTGTGTGTGGGGGGGGGGACGGGGGCGGGTAATCTAGCTTGTGTTAAGTTCAATGCCTAACTCTGCCTAGGGTATCAGGCTGCTGGTAAAATGGTTATATATTACTAGACAAAGGTATTCGCTGATTTTAATCAACTTAAAAATATATATAAAAAAAAAAAAGATTTTTGGTAAGAGGGATTGTGCCAAGGTTCTGAAATGGATACTGTTTCCAACAGAAAGCAGGCAGGAGGAAGTGGTATGTGGCTATTACAAATCAAAGTCCCCAAGATCAAAGAGCAAGACAGGGCAGTGTGAACCTTCCTAGTCACAGCATTTAACTTAGGGTGTTTTCAGGAAACTAAGTGAAAACCAGGGAAACTCAACCTGAATGCTGAGTCCAGCCCTAGCAATGCTGAAGCTTTTTTTTTTTTTTTGAGGGCACACTATTTAAAACACAAACACACAACTAGTTCTCCAATGATATGTGAAAATTGTCATTAAACTTAATTATAAAAAGTGAAACCCTGTATCTAAAAACAAAAAACATGCCCATAAGTGTGAATTAGTCAAAAGGGAAAATTCTACCCTCCATTTATTTTTATTTTAAATGATTAGATGCAATCCCAATAACTTAATGTTGCAGTTAACAATATATTATCACTACATCCAAAAGAAGAAACTATAGGACAAGCAGAAAGTAACCAGTACTTATCATTCCACCAGGAAGGTAGATCGGGAGGGAGGGAGGGAGGGAGGGAGGGAGG